CTACATTTTAACATTCAACTCCCGTGTCTCGCCTGGTCACATCATATACAAAAATTGAAGTCAAACTGCCTTAAACGTCTCAATAATATGAAATCTCTACCACATCAACAATGGGAGCACACAAAGAAAATACTGTTTAAAGCATTGAATATAAAGTGCTTATTCAAAACTTCAAAGTGTATTTCAATGAGGAGAGTATATTAGGGTTCCCATTTAAAAAAATTGTCGATGACGTATCTCAAATTTGGGCCACCCTGTCTGAAAGTTTATTACATCTAAAAGAGTGCAGTTTAAAATACCAATCGATGTGTCCGACCATATTTCCGAAAAAAACCTTTGATTTACTGAATTTATTCCAAGTTGGAGACTCGCCCTGTATAGACAACTTTTTCATGCGTTTGTGCAATGCAATAACTTCGACAACATTGTTGAAATGTATTTACAATTGTCAAACTACGAAGTATTCGTTTAATGGAAAACTAATTACAAAAATAATACACATGTCGCAAGATATCGCAGCCGAGATGGGTCGCCTTCTACCCATAACTCCCTGCTGCGTTGCCAACTCTCCTCGATACACGACAATTGTATACACTGATTCCTTAAAAGAAGATAATGTCAGCTGTTCAGCAATTTCGCCCACCAAATATCTATCCGGCACTTTAATTTAATCGATCTCTAGTTACAGACATACAGCTATCTTTACCTACTCACTGTCGCCTATCTACTCGTATCAGTAACATACTCACAGAGAATCTAATAGCACAAAGCATTCACAACACCTACCTCAGAATCGTCAGCAACGGAGCTCATTGCTTCGGGTCCTACAAGCCTCCACCATTCGCATAAAGCTCAACAACCATACTTGTAATGATCTTGTAAAAATCTGTAGACTGCGCATTGGTCATACAAGCATGAAGTATGGTTTTCTTCTAGAAGCCAGCGACGATCCTCATTGTGAATACTAGAATGTTCAACTACAGTGCTCAAATTTAGTTACTTGTTGAAAAGAATTTCGGAAAATGTTTGACGGATTTGAATAAGGAACAAACTGTGCTTCAGGTTTCTCGCAATTTGGTTTATAAAGAATGTTCAGCAGTATGGAAATGTCCCTTATAACTTATAACGCAATTAACGTTTTACACCTTGGACCTCAACGCTTACGTGGTAACAATTTGATTAAATAAGAGCAATAAAATGCTACTACGAAACGAACTTGTTCGCTTCCGTTTTGAAAGGTAACACTTCGCCCCATTTACGGTTGAAAAGTATATCAGCCGGCAGGTCGATTCCTTTTCGCACTCCTCTTTTTGCATAAACCGGTCACTTATTATTAGTTTACTTGTAATGGCTCGACAGTTTTCGTCCAAATTGGTGGCACAATTTTCCGGTTGTTCGGGGTTTATATAAGGCTTCCAGTTCAATTGACAAATTACAGGACTTGCTAGTGCAGTCCTTTTTATTTATTTATTTATTTATTTATTTATTCAAGTTCATGTTAGGGTGCAAAGCACTTACAATTGTCAAAAAAGGTTTACATGTAAAAGTGTATATAACATAACAAGTCAAAAATAGAACAAACAAACAATAATACATTAACACTAAATTACACTACCAACTTACATCTAACATGTTTATAAGTTTCACATGATCCTCAAATTCATCTAGGGTGTAAAAAGCATGTTCAGTTAGGAATTTTTTAACGACACATTTAAATTTGGTTTTTGGTCATTCCTTGATATAAACAGGAATAAGATTAAACAGGGTTAGTGATTTGTAATACGCTCCTTTTTGGGATGCTGTAAGTTTACAATAGTTAACACGAAGTTTATGTTTAGTGCGAGTAATATGAGTATGCATGTCGCACTGTTGTGAGAATGCTAACAAGTTTTTTTATAAAGCATACAGCTTCTAAAATGTACAATGACGGCAACGTAAGTAACTTTAGTCTTTTGAAGGCTCCACAACAATCCTCACGATAACCCAGACCACTCATTACACGTATTGCTCTCCGCTGCAGCTTGAATATCATATGCCATGAAACCGATTGACCCCATGCTAAAAGAGCATAGCTGAGTGTACTTTGTACAAGAGCATGGTATGCGTTTTTAACAACCGAATGTGATACATTGTTTACCAGCCTTCTTAATAGAAATATGGACTGGCTAATTCTTTTTGCAATTACATCGCTGTGCCATTTAAGGTTTAGACGAGGATCAATAGTACAACCCAAAAACTTCGCATTGTATATCGTCTTATAATTTGCACCATCTTGCTCATATTTTAATGTAAGATGCATTACAGCTATTTTTGATGAATTTTTTCAAAAGTGTTCAGTTTTCTTTAGATCGCTCAGTTCTAATTTAGGGACTTTTAGTAACCTAATAGGTTTTGATGAAGTTTAAGTGGTGCACGTCTGTACGAAAGGTAATTTTGCGGTAGAGATACGGGGGAATTTTACTGTTTAATATTTTATGAAAAAATAGAGAAGAGTGAACAAGCCTTCTTTCCATCATATTGAGCCATCCTAGCATTGGTAAGGTATGAGAGATCCGTTTGAACTTCCTAATTCCAAATATGAAGCGCACGCATGAATTTTGGACACGCTGGATTCTGTCACAGTCTTTGAGTAATAAGCACGGTCCATATACCACGTCACAATAATTGAACCGTGATAGAACCAGTGCATAACGAAGAACAGCCTTGTGCTTGATGCTAAGAATGTGACGACTAGAATACAATCTTAACTGATAATAAGCCGAAGCAATAAGGTTGTCAATGTGTTTAGTAAACCTTAATTTACTATCAATAGAAACGCCCAGATTTTTTACACAATCGGCTTTTGGGGCACGTTTTTTTGCCTTGAATGGGCTTTTTAAGTTTATCGCTACAGAACACGATGAAGCAAGATTTAGTTGCATTTATTTTCAAAGAGTGATTGTCCGATGCCTTGGCTACCCTTGCAAGATCTTCGTTGATCATTGCCGCAGAGGAAACACCCCTTGTAACAAGCACAAGATCAGAATGATTCATTGAATTCATGAACATGATTCGCTTTGAAAGCTTAGCGAAGAATTTCGTGTTAGGTGATCTAAAAATAACCGCGCTTACATTACGTAGAGTTGCCTCGAAAGTTTGATCAAGAATTCAATACGCGATCGAAAAATGCTCGACATGCATAGATTCGCTTCGAACGTTTGGTTAAGAATGCCTTTCTTCCAACCGATTTTTACTTATGTACTCGCTGAGCTCTAATGATGAAACGACCCCAACGAAAATCACTCTTTTTTAGCGTAAAAAAAATGTGCTATTTGCGTTTTGTCCGAGGTTTTGTCCGTCCGTCTGTCCGTTCGTCCAAGCATAAAAGTACCTGGAGTGGGTCTGAATTGGTTGACAACTCGGTTGACAAGCAGTATCATTTTAGTCAGTTTTGGCCCGCAGCAACTATTTCAGATACAAATCCTATTATTTTCATTAGTTTTATCGATAAATCCGTTTCAACTGTGCAGAACTTTCAACTTTTTGGTTCAGACATGAAATCTTTTACTTCAGCAGAGATTGTAGGGTTGCCAATTCTAAGATTGGATATTTAAAATTAATGTTATGTTTTGTATCATTTGATGGTCATTTGCGTCGGTTGACAGAGGTAAAGGCAGATTATTGTGAAATATTTTCTCGTGGAACCCTAACCATTGTCGGTATTGAAATTAAATATTTAAACAATTTATTAACAGTGATATGATATTTTATCTAGTTATCATCTGATAGTCATTTATCGTTATTGTCAAAGTTCATTGAATTGTCCAGTTGATTTCTTTAAGCTAATAAAAGCCATATTTCCAGTGGTTACAAATATTATATCAATTTTATTAGCTTAAAGAAATGATTAACGAAAACCCATCGTCAACTAGTTTTCCTATCACGAGGTATTTGCATCCTGACAAATTTGACGTAGAACCGGATGCTGCAGAAGCGGATGCACAATGGCAGCACTGGAGGTCAACGTTCGAAAGTTTTTTGAATGAAGAAGTAAAAACTGCGATTTAATACCAGATGCATTAAAACGCAAGCTCTTAGTAAATCACCTGTCAGCTTCAATCTACAAACATATCAAAACTTGCGAAACTTACGAAGCCTCAATTGCAGCTTTAGAAGGTATTTATATTAAACCTAAAAATATAATTCTAGCCAGGCATATCCTTTTTAACCGGAAACAACGTGCGGATGAAAACATCTCTGACTACGTAAGAGCTTTACGTTTAGCAGCAAAAGATTGCTCTTTCGAAACCGTTATCGCTCAAGAACATGAAGAACAAGCAATCCGTAGCGCCTTAATCTCCGGCCTGCTTTCTCGTAAAATCAAAGAACGCCTGCTAGAAAATAAAAAACTTACTCTTGCCGAAGCACTTGACCAAGCTATTGCACTTGAAACAGCTGAAAAGGACGCGCTAATAATAAGTAACAATTCACCGCAAATTAATGCTATATACGAACAAAAACAAGATACAGCATCAAACATAGCAGCGGCTACACAACACCGACCATCACAAACAATACTTGAACCATCCTCACGATCAGTAAGATGTTGTTTCTTTTGTGGTGGTAACGTACATCAAAGGTTTAAGTGCCCAGCTTTCCGTGCTATATGTAACCTGTGTTCTAAAAAAGGTCATTTTTCAAATGTATGTAAATCAAGAAACGCTACCAGCAACTCGGCTTCGTTCAAAAACACAGTCAACAGTCTTATCGATGACGGCTCATCTCACTGTAGTACAATATCTGCCGCTTCACCGTCAAGCTTGAAAGGTGCAACTATTCTAATCACGGTGAATGGTTATAAAGCTGATGCTCTTGTTGACACTGGCAGTTCTGTCAGTTTTATAAACAGCAAGATCGCGCGCCTAATGAAATTACGTCAAAAACCATGTACACAGTCTGTCAACTTAGCCTCGCTGAATCAAGTATCGGTTGTCGAAGGTATTTGCTTTGCCAATATCACCATGAATAAACACAACTACAGGCAAATACCACTTCTTATCGTCGATAATCTCTGCGCGGACGTGATCGTTGGACACGACCTACTAAAAGAACATTCTAAAATTGAATTTGAATTGGGAGGTCCCCATGAACCATTACGCATCTGCAACGTAATGCAGTCCTCGGTGCCACCAGCATCTATTTTTACTAATTTGTCACCTAACATCAGACCTATCGCCGTAAGGAGTCGTCGATACAGTATACAAGACGAAGAATTTATCAAGCAAGAAATATCAAAATTACTGGAAGACGGTGTAATAGAACCAAGCATTTCTCCCTGGAGAGCACAAGTCCTAGTAGCGGGAGGTGGCGCTCATCGAAAACGTCTAGTAATAGACTACTCTATGACTATTAACAAGTTTACAGAATTGGATGCATTCCCATTACCAAACATGGAAACGGTCGTCTTAAAAGTATCGAAATACAAAATCTTCAGTCAGATCGACTTAAAAAGCGCATATCATCAAATGCCCATTTTAGATAAAGAGAAAGTCTACACTGCTTTTGAAGCCTGCGGACAACTTTACCAGTTTACAAGAATTCCATTCGGTGTTACCAATGGTGTAGCAGCGTTTCAAAGGACTCTAGACTTCATCATAACCAGAGAGAAACTAGAAGGTACAGTTGTATACTTAGATGACGTGACAGTATGTGGTAAAGATGAGTTAGAACATGAACGTAATCTAAAAAAGTTTATGGATGCGGCGAGAAAATATAACTTAACACTAAATGAAAGAAAATGTGTTTTTAAGAAAACAAAAATCGATCTACTTGGCTATACTGTCGAAAATAACACAATCAAACCAGACGCTGAGAGATTGAAACCCCTTTTAGAACTTCCAGCTCCCATTAAAAACTCAGAACTCAAACGCGCTTTGGGAATGTTCGCCCACTATGCAAAATGGGTTGAAAGATTTTCGGAGAAGATAAAACCTTTAACTTGTGTTTCAAGTTTTCCTTTAACACCTGATGCTCTAAAATGCTTCCAAGAGATTAAATCAGACATAAAGAAAGCAATAGATGATGATGAAACTTTCACTGTTGAAACTGACGCCTCGGATTTTGCTATAGCCGCTACGCTTACGCAAAAGGGTCGTCCAGTCGCTTTCTTCTCTCGAACGCTTTCCAATCCAGAATGTCGACATTCATCAATAGAGAAGGAAGCTTGTGCAATTGTTGAAAGTCTTAAGAAATGGAGACATTTTCTGATTGGGAAACACTTTCTTTTAATTACGGATCAAAAATCAGTAACGTACATGTTGAATCAAAATCACAATAGCAAGATTAAAAATGAGAAGATAATGCGCTGGAGATTAGAGCTATCCTGCTACAAATATGACATTATATATAGACCAGGTTCGGAAAACACAACAGCAGATGCTCTGTCACGAGTTTGTGCGTACATGAACACCGACAAATTAAAACAGCTTCATAATGCGCTTTGCCATCCTGGAGTAAGTAGAATGTTCCATTGGATACGCTCTAAAAACCTACCGTATACAGCAAATGATGTAAAAGAGATGATTGCATTGTGTCCAACGTGCGCTGAAATTAAGCCAAGATTTTTGAAAGCAAAAGGTCAACTAATTAAGGCTACGTCTCCATTCGAACGCCTTAATATACACTTTACATACACAGCGACAGAGGAACCTCATTCATGTCTGAAGAATTTAAAAATTTCCTAAAAAACTCAAACATTGCATCCTCAAGAACGACCCCATACAATCCACAGGGTAATGGTCAAGTGGAACGTTTGAACGGAACACTTTGGCGTACTATTCAGCTCAGTCTACGTTCCAAGAGTTTATCAATTGGAAACTGGGAGGAAGTACTTAAAGATGCCCTTCATTGTATCCGATCACTTCTTTGTACATCGATTAATGCTTCGCCACATGAAAAACTATTCACGTACCCTCGAAGATCACCAAACGGGGATTCGCTACCATCATGGCTTTCAACGCCTGGACCTGTTCTAGTAAAAAAAAATGTTCGTCACTCAAAGACCGATCCATTAGTAGAAGAAGCTGAACTTATCGAGAGTAATCCTTACTACTCTTTAATTAGAAGAGCCAATGGAGAAATGTCAACCGTAACAAATCGTCATTTAGCGCCTTTCCCAAACAACGTTGACGAGGGTGAAGATGACATTAGTCTTGAAACTTCAGAGACGGAGGCCTCACAAGAATTACAAACTTCTGATGGATCTTCGAACGGAACAAGAGCTTAGAAGGTCTACTCGAACTAGAAGGCCACCATCGCGTTTTCAAAACTTTGTTGTAGAAAGTGGAATTGAAAATTCTACAGGAGAAGAAAATTCTACAGGGGAAGAATGATATGATATTTTATCTAGTTATCATCTGATAGTCATTTGTCGTTATTGTCAAAGTTCATTGAATTGTCCAGTTGATTTCTTTAAGCTAATAAAAGCCATATTTCCAGTGGTTACAAATATTATATCAAACAGCGATATTTTTTTGAGGTTGATATTAACAAAATTTCACTTGGAAATGAAATAGAATTGCAGCATGTAAAGCGCCTCCGTCACTTCAAACATTTTCGGAAAGTTATTTCACTTTCGACTTTCATGAAATAACTTTCAGCATGTAGAACGGGCTTTATGCAACAAATGATTATAATTGTGTAAATTAAACATGTGTTCTTTAATTTTATTGTTATTATGTAAAACATTAAGCAGTAAAAATTTTATAAAACCGTGTTTTATGGAAAATAAACATTTGTATTTTGTTTTAGAAAAGAAGCCATCGTGCGGACGAATATATATGTTTGGTAAAGAACGCATTAACTAAAGCTGTAGCACAGTGCATCGAAGCGGCCGGTTACGAATTCGATACTGACGTTCAAAAAATGCTCATACGGGTAAGTTATACATTACAACACAAATCTATTTAACACTATTCTCTTTAGGCAGCACAATTTGGGAAATGTTTTGTCGAAAGCATCGATTCTGAGGATTATGTTAGAATGTGTAGACTATTGAGAGTTTTAAATTCTGTTCGAGATAGGAGGATTGGTATTCCGATCACGTTTACAGAGTATCCTTTGAAAACGAATCGTAAAAAGTAATACCTACTTATATTTTCTTAATTAATAATCAATAAAGATTGTTTTATTCTGGTCATAAATTCTTATTAGACAGACTGGTTACACGTCGTCAATATTATCTAGCTATATGCATTGCTAAGTATTTAAAAATGCCGGACAAGGATGGTAGTAGTCGTATTTTGGTTCATTGGGCTAAGTATAAGGTACAGTAGTGAGATGTTCATTTAATTATATTTTTGAGTTCACAAAACTGTTTGTACTAGTAAAAATGTTATGCGGAACAGAGCATCTTTTTTTTTTAAATTGCATTTGGTACAATTTTCTTCACTTCGCTTTTTTAAACGTTTCAGTTCAATTCCTATTCGTTACAAATGCAAGAGTTTCCAAAATGTAAGCATGTCCATTTGTATTTTACTTTATTTCTTACTTTACAGGTCAGCCAACCACAACTAGATGAGGAATCTGTAGCACGAGAAATAGCAAATAAGTTTGGTTATGCAAGTGGTATATCGTACAGTGATATTGCGACTACGGCCGCCAATTGTGGTCGAAAACAGTTGGCAATTAAGGTAAGTGATGTACTGAGTTGACAGATTAATACTAATATAACATTGTGTGTTTAGTTATTAGATCATGAGTCGAAAGCAAGTGAGCAAGTGCAATTACTTCTGAAATTAGACGAAAATAAGCCAGCACTTCTTAAAGCTATCGAGAGTGGAGACACTGATTTAGTGTATATGGTGATTTTAAGACTTCGTGATAATATGCCATTGGCCGATTTTAAGGTGTGACGTGAAAATTGTCTCATTTTGTTGATTTTGTTGTTTTCAGATGACAATTCGAAACTTTCCGGTTGCTTTATCTCTATACATCAAATATTGCCGCCAACATAATCCGCAAGCTTTAAATGAAATATTCATTCAAGAAGATGATTTTAATTCACAAGCGCAAGGTTTTATTTTGGAAAGCTTAGATGAAAAGGTAATTGCTTGTTGTTGTTGTGCGATCACTTTAATTACAATTTCAGAAAACTCACACTCAAGACGCTTCGCTCACATCAGCAGTTGAAGCTTACAAAAAAGCTAGAAATGACGTGAGCTTTTCCATATGCGAGGAAGCGCTTAGGTTGTTGAAATATCAAAGATCATTAAAAGATAAAATCAATGAGGATCTTGTTGGTAAATCTGTTCACGATACCTGTACAAGGCTCTTAGAATTAAAAGATATCAAGGAAGCAGAGAGAATGAGAAGCAACTTTAAAATACCAGATCGAAGGTAAATCAAATGTTTAGGGTTTTTTTATTTATTTATTTATGTATTTATTATCCCTCTCTTGGTCTGGGCCCTCAACAGGCTTGCACCCAATTACAGAGTGACCCGCATAATGTTTTTTAGAGGTGCCTCTGCAGAAGGTCTTAAGTTGTTCTATACTACTCCGGTATTTACGTTAGGAATTAGGAAAACTGCAGGAAAACCTAATTCGGAATAGCGGGCAGAATGCTTGAAACTAGTCTAAAGTAATTCCCATCTCTGCCACAGATGAAAAATTCACTTCAACCCAGGTTCGAACACCCGACCTCCGGATTTATATTCCAACACTCTCCACTGAACCATAACGCCGGTTCGATTTGGGTTTGGTGTGAAGCAAGAATGGTACTCATGAAATATTAATTGGCTTAGAGGACGTTTGCTTCATCCAACAGAAACAATGGTAGAAAGGTTGACTGAAATCTATGATACCTTTAGATTTGGTCTTGGATTTGGTTGAATAATCCAAAAAAATATTTTAGGTTTTGAAATAGACTCTAGACTTACTTTTTTTTAGTAATATTTTTTTCCAATCCTTTTGACAAATCAGGAAGTTAGAATGTGTCTGCAACTCGTTTTTGTCTTCATGCTGAAACCGATTAAGTAAAAAAACCACAGTGTTCTGAATGGTCTGTCTCATTGCTGAGACCTCAAACCCTGAAATGAATGCTTAGTGAGAACTGAAAAGCAGCAATTCAAAATCAATTGAGGTTTTATTTTACGTAGTCACTGTTTTTGTCAATACATTATAGGATCCTCTGATGACCGCCGTGCGTATAGTCGCGTCTCGAATTTCTATAGTGCATCCATTTCCACAAAATCTTTTCTCATCCTAAATCAGTTCTTCACTAGAACCAATTTATTTATATCTGGAGATATATGGGAGCCAACACCACGGACCTCGAGGCCCAATCCACCTGTCTTCAAAAATGTTTGTCAAAGACATATATATAGGAATTATGGGTAGAGTGAGCTGGTGCTCCGTCAAGTTGAAACCAATAGTTTTCCCCAGGTAATGTCTTCAAGAACGGTACAATTAAATCTCTTATAATTCTTAAAAATAAGTTCATAACGGTCACAATTTTGAAAAAACCAAAATAATACTGAACTCATAACAGATAGGTATAGGGAATATAATAATAATTGAACCATGTACAATTTTTTCAACATTTGAAAATGCAAAATAATAAAGTATGTTCATTTGGAAAAATCAGCTTTTTAAGGTTTGAAGTTATTAAAATTGACCATTAGTTTTAAAACAACCTGTAGAGAGGCTATCAAAATTTAAATCATTCGCATGTAGCATCACATCAGTATTGTTGATTTGGTAGACTTTTTTAAATTCTAGGTTATAGGTACAGGGCTGAAACGTCAAAAATCTTGAAAACTGTCTCTTCTATTATATATATAAAAATGAATCGCCGAAATTTATGTACGCGCATACGCGTCAGAACGACTGCACCAAATTAAATAATTCTTTTTTTGTTGTGTTTCTCATTATCAGGACAAGATTTCTATAATTCTATAATTTCGTCATTTAAATCGCAATATAACTAATAGATGGCGTCAATCGTTTACCGTTTACAACCGTATGATGCTGTTTTAAAGAAAACCAAACAATTTCGATTACGTCCGAAGATATGACAGAAAACCCGAAAAAACGGTTTTTTGATTTTTTTACAATAACTTTTATAGCAATAAACACAGAAAAAAATCCTTCCTTGGATACAAGTCTCGACACCATAATGAACCAAATAGCGAAAAAAGTAGAATAATAGCTCTTAAGATAAAGAACTAGTAGCGTCTCAACGAACGAGCGGACACGGACGGACAAAGTGGCCACAATAGCGCATTTTTTTTCTTTTTGTGGAAATGCGCTAAAAATTGTTAGATAGGTATATGGTTGCACGATTAAGATGTTGTGCCCGGGTGCACCATCCTGTTGAAACCAACAATTTCCAACTGTTGTTTTTATTTGTGTGAACGTAGGTACATACATCGTTGCATTCGTAATAAAAAGTGCGTGTGTATTTTTTTGGCGGGCCATAAAAAAAATAAAGTTTGTGATGATTTATCCGAAACAAAACGTTGTATTAAAAATGTCTCAATGGTGTAGGGACAATGAGATAGTATTTTTTGGGAACAAGAAAACGGCAGTTATAGGTTTTATAATGTAAATCCAAGTGTCTGCTAATTATCGTCCAAAAAGTTGATGATATGATGTCTATACTCCAAACAATTCCTTCTGGTCAAATTCTGTTATATTCAAATTCGCCTCATTTTGTGGATTGTCGTCTAATCGTGTAGCGTATAGTGAGCCTTATGCAGAAAGTTGGGTTCAACGCCTCAACCTTGCGTCAGAGGTCGACCGATAAACGAGAAGGACGACCTGGTCGAGCAACCCGCCCAGTCGGCTCAAGCAAAATGTCTTTATCATTTCTCGGCCGACACGAGGTTAGATCCAACTTTTTAATATGAATATTTTTTGGAGGGTATGGTGGCCTCCCTAGACCCTCCATAGAAACGCTCCTGATTAAACGGATGTAAGCTGCGTTACAACTGCAGGGACTCGACTACGTTTACGAAGTCGCCGAGAACCGAGATACTTAAACATCTTGATGGATTTTAAGAAATGATGCATTTATTTGTCAGCATAAATTTGATTTATCAGTTAGTTCCTGCATAGATTGGTCAAGTTGCGCTCTTTATAGGTATTACTCACTCAACGACAAAAGTAAATGATTCATTCATATTAAATTACCTATCCTTTCTTTTGTATTACAAAAGCAGAAATGTGGTTCTGTTCTTCGTGGTGTTCTTTCGTCTGAGGTTTCGTGTGTTTTACTTTTCATTGACGAGGTTTATCGTTATAAGAAAATACCACAAGTGAGACGTCAAAATACCGGCGTATGCATATTGCAAGCCAAGTTCATAATCTTCGAAAGTGAAGAGAAAACTAAGAGGGCAAGCTGTCTCTTACAGTTTTGTCAAAAATTTGTCAACATTGCAGTGCTTTTGCAGTGCTTTGTGCACTTAAGGTTTCGACCGAGGTTTCGACTAGAATTGGCAGGATTATGTTGTGCAAACGGAAAGGTCAAATTACTGCAACTTACAACGCCACCAGAACCACTGAACCTGAACTTTCAGGGCAAAAACCCTCTATCGAAGCATTTCTTGCAAAATATTCAACATTACAACTGTGTATTCCATTCCAAATGACATTTGGTGCAAATATAATTCAGAAAAGCAAAAGGAGTTTTAATCCAAATTTTAAGGTATTAATTTCTTCTGTAACAAACATCATACACACAAGCCGGGTCGGGCAGTTAGTTATACATATTTATAATTTTTTGGTATAACTTGTGTAATTTGTATTTCAGATATTGGTGGCTAAGAATTAAGTGCCTCGCCGATGCACATGACTGGATAGAGTTAGAAAAGTTTTCAAAAAGTAAAAAATCACCTATTGGATATGCGCATTTTGTAGATGTGTGCTTGGAGAAGAATAACATTTCTGAGGCTGTTAAATATCTTCCCAGAGTTAGTGAAGATATTATTGTAAAATACTATGTAAAAGCAAAGTAAGTCGTTTAAAGTTGATTTATAAAATCTTCACGCAATTTATTGTAGTAAACTCGAAGAAGCTGCCCAAATAGCCTATGAACAAAGAGACATTCAAGGTTTATTGTATGTCCAAAGTAAATCTGCGGCTCAATCAAGTTTGTCAGAGAAAATTAATGCGCAAATTTCATTATTGGGTGCGCGAAAGTAAGCGTAGATGTTTTTTTAGTTGGCTAGGTATCTTCTGTGATGTAAAAATATGTGTTATAGTCAATTACTTTACTCATACATACAATATTTACTAAGCATATAATGTATAGGTACTAAGCATATAATGTATAGGTATATCTCATGTATACAAAATAACTTGAAAATGTAACCTTTTTTAAAACACCCTTTAATTATTGATAAACGTGAAAACATTGACTACAACATTTGAGTCACTAGTGTTCTCAAAAAAAAATATCAAAACGGTACTTGTTGGTTATATGGAGGATATACCCGTATGGCAAACAACGATAAATGTTGAAAGTGTTCGAAACACAAAAACTTTCTAATAGATTTGTTTTTAAAAATAAAGTTGTACTGGAAGTGGGAAACAGAAAAGCAAACGTCTCAAATAGGTAAGACTAAAGCTTGTAGTAAACCTCATCGAAAAGCGACAAGATTAAGAAAATCAAACAACTTTACTTTTGTAGTGGGTTTTCTATTCTATACGTTTTGAAGATTTTTTCTCGTTATTCAATTGCTTTTATATAGGGAATTTGCACATCCTAATAAGCTCCCCTCTTCATTGTTAATAGACAAAGGGGTGGATTCCTTGGAGAGCTCCTTGCATGGACACACTTTGCTCCTCTTACATTCAGTGGACATCCTCGACCACCAAAATCCAGGCAAAGGTTAAGCGTAGTCTAGTTATAGCAAGTCTCTGTTCGACGTGCTTATAACATTTTTTGCGAGATCGAAATTAAAATTATACAACCAACATAAATATGCACTAAGAAATTAAGGAACGGTATAATAAATCGAAATGATCGAAGTGGTATGATGTATATCATCATTGACATTTAACGAGTGACAAAAAGCAAGTTCATGATTTTGGACTTTCTGGCGTCCCTCGATCGGTCCGTGCGTCTGGCGTCTGTGCACATGGTAACTTGTGTGCACAGCTGGCTGGCATTATAGGTAGAACATACACTTGAAATCAGGAGTCTATGGCCCTGAGTCATTGATTTGGGAATCAATTTCAGAGTTTTTTATCGATTTCGCACACTTGATTTAGCGTATGTCTGAAATTGATTGAAAAATCAATGGCGCAGGGCCACAGAGTTCTAATTTCAAGTGTGTGTAAGTAGTAAAATAGCACAAATGTTGGGTTTTTCACTTAGACCATATAGTACATGGACTGCTAATTGTAACGAAAATATGGTCAAGGACATCGCCTGGGTATGTGAGTTTCAGGGTAAATGACTCTGTCCGAAGTTGTCCGATTAGATACGATTTGAGACTGTCAACCTATAAATTAACAAACGTCAATTAATTAATGGCCTAGATAAGCAAAAAAAAAGAAAACCTGTTCTTATTTATGGACGTAGAGAAGATAATCAAGAGTAATTAAAGCTTCCCGTATACTACGCGATTACTATAAAAGCTACTCTTTACGCGATCCGGGTGATGTTTACACGACTTTAGTTTACCCTGAGATTCACATACCCACGACTACAGTGCCCTCTATCCATGACCACCCATTTTGTATTGAAAGCATAGGGCTAATAGCAGTCCATGTACTATATGGTCTAAGGTTTTTCATGTTCACTTATTTTTATGGCATGCTTGATTATTAGGTATATATAAAATTCGTTCTTGGGCACATTCGTCCAAAATTTTAAAAATCGCTGAATAGCTAAAATACTCCATTTAACAACTATGACATAAAATACTGCCTCCATAAAAAAAAGTTGTACTGGTATCAAAATTATTTCTACCCCAGTGATACGTGAAACTGTATAGAATTTTTTCCTTTACAATTTTTTTTCTCATAATGAAACATCAATTTATACCTCCATCCTAACGCTCCTGTATTGAGCATGGTACCCTATTTTAAAGAGCATAATATACGAGGTCAAATTTACGCTGGAATTCACGAGATCGGCAACATGATATATTAGGCACGTAGTACGGGTGTTCCTGACGTAAGCTTAATCAACACCTTATTATCAAGGTTGGCTAAATATGAAGAAGGCATACTATATCTTATAGAAATAGAGACCTTCAGTTTTCCAATGTCATATATGTACTTACGATAAGCACCTCGTAAGTACTTAAAGTATTGCGCTTTCTGATTGTACCCGTGTAGGTATTGGTATGGTATAAATATGTAAATGACCATTTTGTTAAGTTTGTGGTATAAATCGAATCGATATTGATCCTACTTTTTTGTGCTTCTCTCTTTAATCCCTACTATATGGATCTTATACTTCCCTTATTTCCATAAGTTATTTCAAAATACTCTGTTATGAATGCATAGGTAACGCCAATTAGCACATAAGTACTTCATATACAGGGTGTCCCAGGACAAGATGCTGGCTATCTATTCCGTAACATGTTGGAAGTGACCAGACTGTAACTGAATATTAAAAAATAGCACACCAAATGGTAAAACAAACGTCCAATATAGCGAAAAACGTAAGCAAACGTTTAACACTAACATATTACCATTTCTCTATCGTGGGTTTGGCTACCGTGAAGCTGGTCCGACCCAATCGGAATATTGAAAAATCGTATACCAAATCTAAACAAACGTCGAAAATAACGAAACAAACGATTAACATACTCAACAGTTTGTATTTGGGTCCGGCGTCCGGCTAACTTCACAGACGTGCAGTACCGCATTTCCCATTAGGCCAACTAGGCCCAGGCCTAGGGCGCAAATTGTTAGGGGGCGCTAAATTGGAAGGGGTACAAAAGAAAGAATGCGCTTTAGGTAAAGTTCAATTTGCTAGCGTCGCTTATCGTGTCCGTAATCGTTGACTTATTCGTAAGCGTAATAGGGCGCAACGCAATCCTCGTGGTCATGCAGACCATCTTCCTGCTACGTTGCGGGCACCGGCGGCCAAGGGTTTATATGCAAACATACTCCCCTTTTAGCGAATAATTGAACTCGTCCAGCGGGGCGCTTTGCTCCGAGGCAATAGCTTGCACCAGTTGTACCTGTTACTTTGTTTTTTCTACATGATGAACCAGGATGTAATTATTTCTGGTTTTTAATAAATGGTCAGAATTTGTGAATATTATCTATCATAAATGTATTGTGTTTGTGTACTATTTTGGAGTTCATATTTTCGTTATTCTATACACCATCCAAATCAAATACAATTTTGACAATATCAAGAATAATTTATTTACAACTGGACGTGTATGGGGTGCGATAAGAGTGCGGAGGTAGGGGGCGCTCTTTAGTTTGTAGGCCTAGGGGCGCTGAATGGCTAAATGCGGCCCTGCAGACGTGGCGTTAATAAACCCACAATCTTTCACCCACACACAAATGGCCCATGCCGTATTAACAAATGCACGTCAAACATTTTATTTTGAGGTTGCGATTTCGACTGCAAGACAAAATTTCCACCTTGTACTATGCGATCAAAAATGAGTTGCTGTCGAGCCACCTTTGGAATTTTTGTTTCCATTGGAAATCGTACTTAACTTGAACTTCCAAAGGCGACTCGACAGCAACTATAAGTATACAAGAGCAGAAGGGCTAGGTATTTCAATTTTAAAAAAACTTGAATTTGTTGAGTTACAAACTCTGGTAATAGCGCATAATCGTTTTTTTGCGTGTACCTTTAAATAGTTATTTATTATACAAGACAAAAAGGGATATTTTAACCATTGAGTGAAGCGACGATAGTCCAGTCAAATTACGGTTTGGGCTGGATGTTGTAATTTCACTCAACGAAACCAAGCGTATCTTATGTAAAAAAATCGGCTGGATCCAAAAATCATAGTCCCCCTGGCCGGAACATATTGTTATTAACAAAAAACCAAGAAAAAATGAGAAAATGTGTTCTTTCGCAGTTGACTTCGAATATCTCGTTCACTATTACTCTGGGGGAAAGAATGAATAGAAATGGACTTGTTTGGAATAAAATTTTCTGCAAGATACAGTTGGTCCGGAAGGCTCATTTTCAACTGTTTTTGTTTTTATGGCAAAATGTAAAAAATTAATCTCTAAAATTAACAGTTTGTTATTATCAAGTAAAATTCATCCGATCTTTTTGAAAATCCGTATGCAGTCATTTCTTTTGATAACAAAACAATATGACAAACCCGATCACCGTAGGTTTCATAGTAATTGATTAATTAAATAAACAAGTAAAAAAAGGAATGCTTTGTCTTTCAAACTGGGGGACTACAAAAGCGTTCCCAATTTTTATATGTGTACATATAGTTTAACCCTAAAAGAATCTTTTCCATTATTTCCAATAATTGTCCCGATAATTTTTGCAAATCAACGGACTGTGGACTTTTTTTTAGTTAACTAACAAAATTCTATAGTCCGTCGATTTGCAAGAATCATCGGGACAATTATTGGAAAAGATTGTTTTAGGGTTAAACTATGTATAAAAAAATTGGGAAAGCTCTCGTAGTCCCCCAGTTTGAAAGACAAAGCATCCCTTTTTTACTTTTTATTTTACTCGGAATGTTGGTGGACGACACCTTCCTCGTCCCGAAAACGTGCATTTTTCGTACTTATGAAACAAATAACTATTTTCGCGTAGTCAGCAGGAAACGTGGTAATATAAACCAAAGAGTATTGTATAAACAAAACAAACGCTTGCGTCTGCGCGTTGCTGAGGGAGTCACGGTCAAACAGAGACGCAAGTCCGACCGAAAACATCCACGTATACCGCTCTCTGACCGCGGGTGGGGGTGTTCGATTTCTCGGTAACAGTGGCGTGGCTGACGATCTCTTCACTACAATATCTTAAGGGGTATTGACTTATATGTTTCAGAATTGAACATACGAGATTTGTATGTTTAGATCAATGAATAAAGAATACCAGGAAGGAGAATATCAACAATATACGTGCGACCGCGATGGTTTTTGCAAATGGCGGACAGTAGTTTCCTGTTCCAGTGGCGTACCTACCTTACAGTTGTAGAAGGATACAATTATAAAGAATTTTACACGAAAACAATCTAAACCCCTATGTGTCTACTCGGCCTATGACTTTTGTTTAACTAACCTCAAACTACATTCCGATAAAAAATTTGTAAATTTACATGTACTATATAAAAATAATATTGGTATCAATACTTACACATGAAATGTAATTCCCAAACTTTTATTTTTTTTCGTTTTGG